CAACACAATTTTTTTATGAAAAATAATATTTATATCCCTTTTTCATTCGACATACTTTATCTTAATCAGGATATTAATAAGAAAACAGTATATAAAGATTTGCATCGAATTGTTTTTTTTATTGTGATTTTAATCACTGCCAGATATTATTATACTTGATCCAACTATGCCACGTCACCACTGTACTGCGTTTTTTTTTTTGAATTTATACAGATCAAAATATCTGTCTTTTTTTTTAAACACAAAAGATAAACATACATCAACTTGTTATGAAAGTTTTTAAAACATACTTATTAAGAGTCAACATAATAAAATTATCTTTAGAAAAGGTGTTTGAGAAAAAACATAAATCAATTATGTTCAATATTATATTATACATTAATTATGTAGCAAATTAGTATAAAGAGTATATCATTTTAAAAATCAACATTTGTTTTAAAATATTAGATAAATTTAAAATTAAATAAATTTAAAAATTAAACTGAAATTAATCAAAAATTGTTTTATTTACTAAGTTTAATGTTTCTCCTGAACACAAGTCACTTTTGTCTAATGCTCTTTCTTCCGAACACCATTCAATTTAAAAATGACTCCTTAAACATTATAGGCATACTTAATGTAAAATATAGTTACCTTCGTTAAATATCAAACAGCTAATTATCAACAAAAAACATATATTTTGCCAATTCTAGAATAAAGTATAATATTTTTTTAGATTTCAATCGAATTTTTTATGTAAAGTATATTACTCACCTTCATTCTTACTATAAATGGTATATTTTGTAACTGAAGACAATTTTTGGGTTAAATTGGTGGTTACTTAAAGAATCATTGACATAATTTATTGTTTTTTTCATATTCTTTAATTTTATAATAAAATATAAAAGTAAGTATAAATAAATATATAGGATGGTCTATAATATTTTGACCAATCTAATAATTTTTAATCCAAAAAATATTTTGTGTTATTCGTATAGAAATAATTAATTAAATCAAATCGAATAATGGTAAAAATAATAATATGGCATGTAGATTTTAACTTAGGACAGGCTTGATGTTAATATCACAATAGATAGATAATTAAGGGAGTATATTCTAACAGATTTGGAGTTAATTTAACATCTAATATTTTTAATATGAGACAAAGTTTTCGGTAACCTTGAATATAAAATAGTTTTACTATTAAATTTATCATTAAAATAAGTAAAGAATCATCCACATGATATATTTTTTTCACATTCTTTAATTTTATTATATAGTTAATAATAAAATATACATAAATATACAGGTTTTCTACGATTATTTGACAAGTTTATAAATTTTTGAGCCAACAAATATTTTTGTGACTATTATAAAAATAAATTTTACAGTTTTGGACTAGATTAAAGTATATTTTATAATATTTATTCTAATAAGAAAAAATAAATTTATAACAATATTTAAAACTGTAAAAATAATTAAAAAAAAAAAACTAGCACAGTGGGGTCGTGGCACAGTATAGACGAAGCATAGTTGGGACAAGTATAGATTTAATCTGACAGTGATTAAAATTACTATCATAAGAAACGCTCTGAAACAAATCTGTAGATGGTGTTTAATTCTAAGAAATTAGTGAATAATTTTAAAAGCAACATCAACTTCTAATTCCGTAATATTATCCAGATTAGTAATTCATAGATTCAAAAATATAATATAGAATGTTTATAATTATTTTTTATCAAATTATTATTGATTTTCATTTTTAATATGTTAAAAGTAGTAATTTTTAACCTACTTATTTTTGTTCTTTAAAGTGAAAATTTATAATAAAAGAAAATAATGAATTTACTACCATAACTTTTAGCTCAACTTTCAAGTTTGAAATTGATATCATTAAATAGAAAAGAAGTGGTATTGTAATTACTGTTTACAGTAAATTTATCAGAGAAGCTCGATTTTTGTTTTCATTTTTATCGTAATAGATCACTTTAATTGAAATCATAGTAATCATTCCTAATTAACTTTTGGTAAATAAAAGATTCTACAATTGAAATATGTAGAACTGAATTAATTTTAATGATTTACTTAAAATAAAAAAAAACAATTAAAAAATTGTTAAAAATATCTACTCAACTGAGTGTATTATAGAATTTGATTATAATTGTAAAAATCTATTGTTAAATCCAGGAGAAACTAGTTATAATTTAAAATTTGAAAATAACATTGTTATTAATTATAATGTGTAGGTTATAATGTAGTTAAACTTCAACTTTTACATTCACGCATGCGTATCAAACCCAACTCTACAGTAAGAAATGACAATGATTTTAATGTCGTAACTTTATATTAGCAAATTTTGAGTTTCTTGTTTATACATTTTTTCTAATGGTAAAATATCCAAAGAATTATTATTACGACCAATATATTAAAAGAATACGAATAATAATTCGATCAAATGTAGACTTAATTATTTATAACTACTTATTACAAGTTATATGTATTACTATTTGTGTGCAAACAAATATGTACTTATTATATATTTTGCATGTTATAATTATTATTTGTATCTTTATACAAGGTGATTCATTTCTTATAACCCACTTAATTCCTCTCAAAATAATTTCAATGATGAGAAAATAAAAATATTTTTAGTTGCATTTTTCTCTTGATTTATCAAGTTATAAATTATTTTTAGGATCAATTTTTATAACTTATAGGGGTGTCAATATAATTTTTTTAAATGGTGAAAAATTTTTTTTAGAAAATGATCTAATTAAAAATATCCTTTAAATATTTTTAGGACCTATTCTACTTCATGATTAGAAAACCATCTACATATAATTTTTTTAGATATTCATAACTAAATAAAAATTATACTTTTCTAAAAGCGGCTAAAATCCTAAAGAAATATTTTGCCTACTTCTGGCCAGTCGCAATATTGATTTAGCTAATATTTCAGTGATAAGTCCTTATAATCATTGGTATAAACAGAGGAATGCTTAAAATACGACTGTATGTGGATCTTTATCTAGGAAACTTTTTTGACTTTCCAGGATATTTATATGTTTTTTGCATTTCGACCAAAATTGTATACCTACGCTACTGCTTCTAATGTATCCAGAATTGAAGAGGAATTTTTCATAAGAGAAAATTCCCTGGTCTTGTGTGTAGTTTTTGGGGGTATTAACGTGAGTCAAATTCGAACTCACCTTGAAAATAAAGCTTTTAGTGCCACTTAGTGAAAATTCCTTAAATAAGCTCTGTTTTGGACGAACTTTTTATGGTATAATTATGGGAACTAAAAATCCAATTATTTTAATGTATTCCAGTATTTACCAATGAATAATTTTTATTTGAATTTGTCGTAACACAATAAATGGAAAGGTGTAAATGGTAAATGTGTACGAAGATTAAGATGAGGATGTCGTGCCTGCTATCTAGATATTCACGTGCGTGTTGTCGTACAGGAGTCACCGTGCTCAGCTGACACTCCGGGTTAGCTGTGGGTGTCGAAAGGCTGTTGTTATAGGAAGGGAATAAGGGTAACACCTAGGTATGAGGTGCAGACAAAGTGCAAGACACAAGTACTCTGAAATGTTGTGAAAGAGAGTAGATAGGTTTAAAAAGGAAAATACAAAGATCTAAGCAGTAAGCCGGACAGCGTCAACCGAGTACTGAAACTAATGAATGACAGTTGAGTCGACTGACCACGATGGTCAGGGTTTTGGGTTTTTATAATAATTTGAACTATTGCCAATTTGGCAATAAATATTATTTGTTAATTCATCAACCTCAGGAAGCGGATGTGCTGTCTGTATTTTATTAAAATAATTCTCAAAATAATGGTAACGTGACACCATCACAAATTCTTTTAATAAAAGTAAATGTCTATTAAAATTAGAGGCTTAAATAATGGATTGCATTAGCTATTTAGCATCCCCTGGCATAAAATCAACACTTCCAAACATATTTCACCATTAATTTAAAAATTTTTAAAGAAAAATAAAAATTATTCTTCTATTATATAAATAGCTTCTGTTTTTTTTTTTTTTAATCTTGTCTTGGATTGTGAACTTGCAATATTATCGGGGAAGTAAATATGTATTACTTTAAACATAGTACTATGTTTAGTTTTTACTAATTATAATTGAAATACTATAGTGGCAAAAAAAAAAAAATATATAAATACAGAGTGGTCCACGGATCTTTGAAAAATCTAATAACTTTTGATACATCGAATGGTTTGCATTAGTTTTTTTTATAGTATTTTAGACTATGTTAGTCTAATGTTGGGTCTAGCGCGGGAGTAGTGCATAACTATCTGCACAAGCTGTATCCCCACCCACGTTACATACTAACTAAACGTATTAAAATGCTTGTAACTTAGTAAGTCTTTATTCTAAATTTGTTATCGACCCATCAATATTTTTTGTAAGAAAAAAACTAAAATAAAAGCTTTTTTAAAATTTCGAAAAAATTAAAAATAAATTTTTTTTTTTTATGAAATAAATAGAACATATGCTTTAACATAGTCTAAAAATCTGTAAAAAAAAAAGTTATGCAAAATATTTAATCTATCAAAAGTTATTATATTTGTCAAAATATCGTTAAATAATGCTGTAAA